GAGTCGCCGCGCGGCCTCGGCCGTACTTCGTTCCCCTCCTACAGCAGGTTCTTGGTCTTTCTCCTCCTGCAGCGTGTCCACCGCCTGTTCAGTCACAGTCCCAGTTAGAGCCCGCCTCCCCACTTCCTGCTCCCTCTCCTTACACTGGTCCCACTGGAGGTCTTGCTGAGCGTCGTGAGCCTGCGTCTCGTCCTGCGTCGCCTGTTCGTGCTGCTCGCGCTAGTGGTCGCGGTTCGCGTCAGCGTCCTCCTCCTGTCCCTGGCACGCACCGGATGTCTTTGCGTCCGTCCACTGCTCCTCTGCGTGCCCCTTTGCCTTCTCCTCCTGAGTCCTCCCTTCCTGCACTTACCGACCCAGAGTCCGACTCTCTTCGTGCTGCTAGTCCTACTGTCACACGTCTCCTTGCTACTGTCGTCACTGACCCCTCTTTTGAGTCCACTGCTGCGTCTGCGCTTGTTGCTGAGCTCGTCGACTTTGCTGCTCGCTGTCGTCTAGACTACGCTGCCGGTCTTGTTGCTGAGTCTGCGTCTGTCTGTCCTCCGTCCGTCGGGGGTGAGTGTGCTCTTGGCACGGACGTCCTTGAGGACAGGCAGGAGGAGTTCCAGTGTCTGGCTGCTGCTTCACCTCATCTCGCGTCCGTACTACTTGCCCCTGAGGGAGACCCGGATGCACTAGACATCCCGACTCCGCGCTCTTACGCGGAGGCCGTAGAGGGTCTCTACTCCTCTCAGTGGCAGGCAGCTATGGATGCAGAGATGGCGTCCTGGAAGTCCACAGGCACCTACGTTGACGCGGTTCCCCCTCCTGGGGCGAACATCGTCAGTGGCATGTGGATCTTCAGGGTGAAGCGGCCGCCGGGCTCTCCACCTGTCTTCAAGGCGCGGTACGTCGCTCGTGGCTTCAGTCAGCGGCAGGGAGTTGACTACTTTCAGACCTTCTCTCCCACCCCGAAGATGACCACTCTTCGGGTGCTACTGCACATAGCCGCTCAGCGCGACTACGAGCTCCACTCTCTTGACTTCAGCACTGCTTTCTTGCAGGGTAGCCTGCACGAGGAGATCTGGCTGCGCCGTCCACCTGGCTTCACTGGGACTTTCCCTCCTGGCACCCAGTGGAGCCTCCGACGGCCAGTCTACGGTCTCCGCCAGGCACCGCGTGAGTGGCACGACACACTGAGGACTACGCTTGCGGCTCTTGGATTTGCTCCCTCTACTGCTGACCCGTCGTTGTTTCTGCGCACCGACACTTCTTTGCCGCCGTTCTACATCCTCGTGTACGTCGACGACTTGGTCTTTGCCACAGCTGACACTGCTGGACTAGCCTACGTGAAGTCCGAGCTGCAGAAGAGACACACGTGCACAGACCTGGGTGAACTGCGCAGCTACCTTGGCTTGCAGATCACTCGGGACAGAGCACGCCGCACCATTACCTTGACTCAGTCACACATGGTGCAGCAGGTCCTTCAGCGCTTCGGCTTCACGTACTCCTTGCCTCAGGCCACTCCTCTGTCTACTCGCCACTCGCTCTCAGCTCTGCCTTCGGATGAGTCCGTAGAGTCGAGTGGCCCGTACCCAGAGCTTGTTGGTTGCCTCATGTACCTGATGACCTGCACACGACCTGACCTTGCATACCCTCTTAGCATTCCTGCACGCTATGGCTGCAGCGAAGAGGGTGTTGCGCTACTTGTGCAGTACGTCGGGCATGGGGCTAGTGCTTGGAGGGCGGAGTCCAGTGGTCCTCACTGGGCACGCGGACGCTTCTTGGGCTGACGACCAGGCTACGCAGCGGTCGTCGCAGGGTTACACCTTCAGTCTTGGTTCCGGCTCTGTCTCGTGGCGGGCTACACGCTCGTCCTCTGTTCTCGGCTCCAGTTGTGAGGCTGAGATCTACGCCGGGGCCATGGCTGCACAGGAGCTTCGCTGGCTCACCTACCTGCTGACTGACCTTGGAGAGCCGCCTCGTTCTCCTCCAGTGCTCTACGTAGACAACAAGGCCATGCTGGCCTTGTGTCGAGAGCAGCGCTTGGAGCACAGAACGAAGCACATTGCTCTCCGTTACTTTCTTGCTCGTGAGCTGCAGCAGCGTGGTCAGTTGCGACTTGCGTACGTGGCCTCTGAGGCCAGCACTGCTGATGTGTTCACCAAGGCACTTGCGCCTTGTGACCATCAGCGCTTCTGCACTCAGCTGGGTCTTGTACCTGTCTTGCCTCACTTGCTCTCCTCTTGACCTTGCTTGTACTGTCACATATATATACCTGCTCTTGCTTGTCTAGCTATATATATATATGTGTGCACTCCTGCATGTGAACTGGCCTTGTGGCCTTGTCGTTGTGCTCGGACTGTGTGGTGACTTTGTGATCCACCCTGAGCTTGCTGTGCTTTGCGTGACTGGTCTTGTGACCCCTTGTTCTCCCCCACTTTGCCTATGGGGGTGTGTCAGAACATATATATAGCTTATGCTGTTGTGTAGGCTATAGTGGGGTATCCCATAGGGGGTACAACCCAATTAGGGTTTCCTATATGTACTCACTTCATTCATAGTTCATTCATTCGCTTTCTCCTTTTCTCAGGAACTAGCCTCGATCAAAGAGAACGACGTGTTCGAGCTCGTCGACCCGCCGAAAGGTGCGTACTTGGTGGGGTGCAAATGGGTGCTTAAGAAGAAGTTGGGAGCCGATGGGAGTGTCGAACGCTACAAGGCGAGGCTTGTAGCTCAAGGCTACACTCAACGGGAGGGGGAGCACTATAGCGAGACCTTCGCTCCCGTCGCTAAGGCTACAACTCTTCGGGTGTTGCTCGCGCTAGCGGCATCTCTCAACCTCGAGGTGGAGCAATTGGACGTTTGCACCGCCTTCCTCTACGGGCTTCTTATGGAAGAAGTCTACATGCGTCAACCCCCGAGGTACGATGACGGTAACGGAAGGGTGTGGAAGCTCAAGCGTACCCTCTACGGCTTGAAGCAAAGTCCACGCGGATGGTACAAGCGCATCGACGACTTTCTTCTTCAACACGGCTTCGCGCGTAGCGAGTGCGATAGCGCTTTATACGTGTTGAAGGAGGGGGAGAAGCAATTGGTGCTTTTGCTCTACGTCGATGACCTACTCCTCTTCTCCGACTCCAAAGACCTCATTCGGGAGGTCAAACAACGGCTAGGGGCGGAGTTTGCAATGAGGGACTTGGGGCCGGTCACGTACTACCTTGGGATGCACGTCGACCGTGACCGAGCCAACGGGACCATCCACCTCCACCAAGAGAAATATGTGAAGGGGGTAGTGGAGAGCTTCGGCATGGGCAATAGCAAACCGGTGGGAACACCACTAGCTACGGGATTTTCTAGCCTCACGGGAGAGGAAGAATCCACCCTCGACGAAGCCGAAGGGAAGCGGTTTCATTCGCTAGTGGGCTCGCTCATGTATGCCGCCGTTTCTACTCGTCCCGACCTCGCATACGCCGCCGGGGTGCTTGGACGAGTCGTGAGCAACCCTCATACCGAGCACGTGCGTGCGGGAGGACGCGTTCTACGCTACCTCCAAGGCACACCTAACTTGGGGCTCGTGTATGAAGCCGGCCCTATCGAACTCAAGGGGTATGCCGACTCGGACTACGCGGGAGATCCGAGCACGCGCAAGAGTACCTCCGGGTACGTCTTCACCTTGCTTGGGGCAGCCGTGAGTTGGCAAAGCAAGAAGCAACCAACCGTGGCTCTAAGCTCAACGGAAGCGGAGTATATGGCACTCACTCAAGATGCCATGGAGGCGATATGGTTACGGCGTCTTCTAGCGGAGTTTGGGCATCCTCAAATGAACCCAACTCCTCTCTTTTGTGACAACCAAGCCGCCATAAGCCTCTCTCACAACGCCGTCCTTCACGGGCGAACCAAGCATATCGAAGTGAAGCATCACTTCATTCGTGAGGCGGTTGAGAAGGGTGAGGTCAAACTCACTTACATAAGCACCAAAGCTCAACCCGCGGACTTCCTCACTAAACCACTCCCTAAGGATTCATTCCGTGCATGCAGTGAGCGTGTTGGACTGAACTTCTAGTGGCTTGGGTGCAAGGGGGAGTATTGGAGGTTGCGTGGGGGGGGAGGTTTGCCCCCAACCACCGAATGGTGCTCACCTTCGAGTGAGCTGCAGATTTGCGTGGAGCTGAAGTTTGACTTCGGAAGACCAATCGATTCGGTGCCACATGGCAGCACCAGAAAGTTCGGGACTTGAAGGAACATTCGAATGAGTGAAATTCGAGTGTCGAATTTCACCCCTTCGATGTTACTCGAACATTCGAGTGTACCGCGGTTCGAGGTTACATGTGCGACACGATGTTTGCAATTCATATATATTTGTGTGCTTTGTATTGCATGGAATATACACTGAAATCGAGAATCACTTTGTACACAGTGCAAGTCGACACAAAATCCAGAGAGCTCCTATCCTACGTTCTAAGAGCACCACCTAGCACGTGAACGCCTATATCTCGGCGGATACTTAGGCGATCGACGTGTTCTACGGCTCGTTGGAAAGCCAACAGAGTGCTCCATCGTTTAGTACAAATCCCAGTTCCTGCAAAGTAGAGGAGAGTCCTTTACAACATCACTTCCCTGGAATCCGTGAGGGACAGCGCCGGCCTGCTCCTTCCTGCAAGCCCTGAGGAACCCAAACCGGGTTGTGAGTCGCCTCAAAATCTGAGTGCGGAGCGCAGCCCTGATAGCAGTGGTAAGGGCCAGAACAGCAGCAACGGCATTGTTTCCGGTGCCAGCACAAGCAGGAGCGACGGTAGCGGGAAGAGGGCGCGGGTGCTGGTGGCGAATGCGTCAGGGGGAGTGGGGCATATGGCGGTGCAGCTGGCTAAGGCAGCAGGGGCACACGTGACTGCCACTATAGGTGCTCGTAACCTCGCTTTCGCCTGTTATCAGCCTTTCTGCTCGTGCTGCTTCGTTTGCTGATCCTCCAATCACTTATCTGTATGCTGCGGTGATAGATTGCTCCCCCAACAACCTGGCAGTTTCTGATGGGGACAGGGTTCCCTGTCCCCAGAAGAGGTGGGTGCATGTGGAGCTTCCGCTCTCTCTGCTTGCGCTGGGACTCTGGCGCCACCTTGCTTTTCGCCCCAGGAAACTGTGCCCTGTTATGATGGAAATGATGGACAACAAGGGGGCTGAATTGGAGGCGCTGGGGAGGATGGCGGAGGAGGGGAAGGTGAAGGTGGTGGTGGAGAGTAGTGTGGTGTTTGAAGAGGCGAGAGAGGCGTGGCGGAGGAGCATGGGAGGGCATGTGACAGGCAAGGTGGTGGTTAGGATGGAGTGAAGGGCTACAAACAATTGATCCTTCAACACGGTGAAAATCACGACTTCAAGAGACTTCTTAGGCTAGAGCACTACCCTTCACGTGAAACAATTGACCATGAAGAAGCACAAACATGAACTGAAGAGCATGCATACAAAGTACCGTATCTCTGCACCATCGTACTACTAGTACCCACTCACAAACCCATTCCCTCTCGACAACCCACCCCGCTACACCATCCACTCCCCTCCCACCCGCTATACCACCTAAACGTTCAGCCAGTCGTATGCTCAAAAGAACCTACCCGCCAAGATTCACGTCACTCTCCTTCACCCTCGTGTCGTGACTGCTGGCGCCAGCTTGCCTTCGACAAACCACTTTGAAGCGGCATTTGGTGCGGCACTTCGAATATTCTTCACCCCAAGCCTACTTGCTTACTTGGCCTCGGCCATGAGCTTCTTGAAGTTGGTCTTGGACGAGTACAGCGTCATGGGCTTCCAGTCGGCGGGAACGACCTTCTCGAGAGTGATCTTCTCGAGGGTGTGTCCCGCAGTGAGGCGAACGCTCACCGCCTTCTTCGCGCCCACAACCTCCTTCGCCTCCTTGCCCTTGATCCCCCAGATCGCCTTGCTGCCGTCGCGCGTCAGCTTCGCCCACTTCTTGCCGTCCACGCTAATCTCGACCGCCTTAAGCGTACCGGGGCCGGCGAGACCCACCATCTGAATGTTGAAATTCTCTGCCGTCGAGTTGCTGCGCACGCGCACCGCCGAACCAGCGGTGGAATGGCAGTTGGTGCGCTTGTACGTGATGCCGACGGGGGTGGCGTCGGATCCCTGCACGATCTTGGACCACGAGACGGCGGAGAGCGAAATCTCCTTCTCCGTGGTCGTCGCGCCAATGACGCGGACTGTCACGGTCGCCTTGCCGCTGCGGCAGTGCTTAGTGTTGTTGGCGCAAATCACCTTGTAGCACGCGCCGCAGCGCTGGCCGAAGATGGCGGGAGGAAGCTTCACGGTGAGTCCCTTGCCGAAGTATGGGTTGGCGGTGTAGTTGCCGTAATAGGCGCATGTGGAGTTCTTTCCTAGCCCCGCGCTCTTGCTCTGCCTCGCTGTGGCCGCCAAGGCTGGCGTGGTTGCGTTTGCAGACCCGATCGCGCCAGCCGCAACCCCCTTAGCATAAGCATTCGTGTTGGCAGGCGCAGTCGCTTTAGCAGGCGCAGTCGCGTTGGCGGGACTCCCGGCGGAAACGCAAGCAGGGGCGGAAAGGAGCACCACAGTGGCGATGACCACGACAAGGAACGCGGCCTTAGCGGGTGTGTGGCCGAAGGGAGTCATTCTCGTATCTTTATCTGTGTGTATTGACGAGGCTGAAACGGTAACTGGTGCTATTAAGCAGCTTAGAAAATATGTGGGTAGAGATAGAGTTGGTGATGAGATGAGCCACAGCTTGCTTCCGCAACCGGCCTGACAGGGTACAGCATACGTTCAACATCATCATCCTCAGCGTCGTCCTCCCCGCCTTCATGTGCTTCCTGTCGCACCGCTGCGTTCAGCACACCATCGCCTTCGGCTGGATCTCTCGCCCGACCGTCTTCCCCGCCTTCGGCCATGACTCTCCCCCCCTCCTCTGCCTCGTCTCCCCCCCTCCTCTGCCGCAAACTCCCCCCCTTCCTGTTCCTCATATACTTTCCCCCCCCTTGCGACGTATCCTCCCCCTTCCCCTGCCGCGTATCCTCCCCCTTCCCCTGTCCCATTTTCTCCCCCTTCCTCTCCCTCGTATCCTCCCCCTTGCACTGTCGCGTGTACTCCCCCTTCCCCTGCCGCGTATGCACCTTGTTCCCCTGTCCCGCCTTCTCCCCCTTCCTCTCCCTCGTCTTCTCCCCCTTCCTCTCCCTCGTCTTCACCGCCTCGCACTATCCCGTATCCTCCCCCTTCCTCTGTCACGTATCCTCCCCCTTGCACTGTCGCCAATACTCCCCCTTCTCCCGACGCGTATGCACCTTGTTCCCCTGTCCCGTCTTCTCCCCATTCCTCACCCTCTTCTTCCCCCCATTCCTCTCCCTCGTCTTCTCCCCCTTCCTCTCCCCCGTCCTCGCCCCCTTCCTCGCCCTCGTACCCACCCCCTTCCCTTGTCTCGTATTCTCCTCCTGCCCCGGTCGCGTAACCTCCCCCTTCCCCTGTCTCGTATCCTCCCCCTTCCCCTTGCTCGTATCCTTCCCCTTGCACTGTCGCGTATTCTCCCCCTTCCCCTGTTGCGTATCCCCCCCCTTCCCCTTGCTCGTATCCCCCCCCTGCACCCGTCGCGTATCCTCCCCCTTCCCCTGTCGCGTATCCTCCCCCTTCCCCTTGCTCGTATCCCCCCCCTGCACCCGTCGCGTATCCTCCCCCTTCCCCTGTCGCGTATCCACCCCCTTCCCCTGTCGCGTATCCTCCCCCTTCCCCTTGCTCGTAGCCTCTCCCTTCCCCTGTCGGTTCTCCTGGGTAGGCTGCTTCTTCCCCTTCCTGACCTCCCACCCCATGCTCCGCCACAAACCCGTTCATTGTACCCGTGTGAGCCTCTCTTCTTCGATTATACCGTGTATCTCGTTTAACGATCCGAATTAAGCATAGTATGTCGCAAAGCCGTCTAACAGGACTTCACAGTTTACTGCGCACCCTTCTAGACACCGATATTTGACGGCAAAAAATTGGCACGCATACGAAGCAGGCTGGGTAGGAAATGTGGAGGTTAGGAGCTCGCGCACCAAGCGTGAGAGAGGCTGAAATTACTGTGTAAGTGTTGGGGTCGGAACAGGGACGAGCAGGCAGTGCAATGGACGCTAGCAGGCGAGGGAGTGGGGATGAGCAGGTGAGAGCGGGGATGAGCAGGCGAGGGTGCGGGTACGAGGAGGTGAGGGAGCGGGGAGGAGCAGGCGAGAGTGCGGGGACGAGGAGGTGAGGGAGCGGGGAGGAGCAGGCGAGAGTGCGGGGACGAGGAGGTGAGGGAGCGGGGAGGAGCAGGCGAGGGTGCGGGGACGAGGAGGTGAGGGAGCGGGGATGAGCATGCGAGGTGCGGGAACGAGCTGAATACTGGGCTAGAGGGGAAGGGGTGTTGGAATGGGCATGAATACTGTACGTACAATATTTCAAGCTGGTGGCCACAAAACGTGAGCTGGCGTTGTGTGACGAAAAGTCGGTGTCTTGCGGTGGGTTTAGGAGAGGTCAGTCTAGGTGCGATGGGTTGGGGTGTGGTGAAGTGAGGTGAGGTGCATAACGCTGTGCTGCACGGTACGTGCACCTTCGCCAAGTCGGAAAGAGACCAACGACTATGGAAGACGATCAGGACAAATTCGGGCAGCACACGATCGAGATATTTTTCATTTCAGGCTCGTAACTCATAAGCATCTAACATTCACGCAACAACTTCTACCACGCCAGGGTTTGAGAATGGCGCTCAAACATCAGCGCCTGTTTGAATCACTGAGGAACGTAACAATATGCTCTGTTTTCAGACATTCCGTACTTTTAGGGTTTACAATTGTAACACACCCACTAAGTTTAAACTTGCTGAAACAAATCACATCGTTGAGATTCCTTGAAGAGATAGCACGACAACTTGAAGAGATTCCTTCATGGCTGTGGCGCACAACGCTGCACAGCCACACCCTCACAAGAAACGAAACAGTAGATATGAGTCAGCATTATGAAAGGCGGTTCCTGTGAATTGCACTGTAGCTTGAACTGTTGTGTAGCAGGCCCCCACTTGCAACGCAGTTACACATGTGAAACCGCCAACAAACGGAAGGCCCAAGTTTAAAACCATTCATGATGTCAATAACACCCAGAACAATGAAAATGCTCAATTCTGTATGCTTACACAAAAAACTAGTCTCACAGACACATCATATTGGAAGCCACATTATTGGTTAAATTGTTGGGGCTTTTGTTGAGTGGTTATTTAATATGTATTACGATCAATTTAGGTAACCTCAAGCGTACTAGGGCTGAAAATATTGCTTGAAACACTGCTATGGTTGGTCTGTGTCTCCAAACGAACACCTACATCATTACCTTATAACGCTCACATATCGTAGGATAGTAGTCCAAAACATCATCTGAATGGCTCTACCCGTTCCTCTATAGCTCCTCTACAGTTCCGCATCAGGGTTGTTTCTTGGCTGAAATTTACCAAAATCAACATAGCAAGCAGTACCAATGAAGAGCCTAACACTTGACAACTCATACTCTGACCATCATTGCCATGTGTTGATTAGAACCATGTTTTGTTCATATCTTAGAAGTAGGTGCTGCGCCTATGACCTACCCTGGTGGCAGTCTGCATCTACATGTTTGGTTGTTTCACTGAGCCATCATGATTTCTCGAGGATTGGATTTTGGTATGCGCCACAAACCAAACCTTGTCAGAAAGCTCTGCAAGTGATAGGGTAGTCTCTTGACACCAATTTGAGACCCCCCTATCACTCTCAGTTCAGTCCATGACGGCAAGATAGGTTTATCATACCATGATATGTAAGGGAAGCCAGAATCTGATGCAGATTTGCCGGGTATTGGATTTTAGTCTGCGCCACAAACCAAACCTTGTCAGAAAGCTCTGCAAGTGATAGGGTAGTCTCTTGACACCAATTTGAGACCCCCCTATCACTCTCAGTTCAGTCCATGAAGGCTAGATAGGTTTATCATGCCATGATATGTAAGGGAAGCCAGAATCTGATGCAGCTTTGCCGGGTATTGGATTTTAGTCTGCGCCACAAACCAAACCTTATCAGAAAGCTCTGCAAGTGATAGGGTAGTCTCTTGACACCAATTTGAGACCCCGCTATCACTCTCAGTTCAGTCCATGAAGGCTAGATAGGTTTATCATGCCATGATATGTAAGGGAAGCCAGAATCTGATGCAGATTTGCCGGGTATTGGATTTTAGTCTGCGCCACAAACCAAACCTTGTCAGAAAGCTCTGCAAGTGATAGTGTAGTCTCTTGACACCAATTTGAGACCCCGCTATCACTCTCAGTTCAGTCCATGAAGGCTAGATAGGTTTATCATGCCATGATATGTAAGGGAAGCCAGAATCTGATGCAGATTTGCCGGGTATTGGATTTTAGTATGCGCCACAAACCAAACCTTATCACAAAGCTCCGCAAGTGATAGGGTAGTCTCTTGACACCAATTTGAGACCCCGCTATCACTCTCAGCTCAGTCCATGACGGCTAGATAGGTTTATCATGCCATGATATGTAAGGGAAGGCAGAATCTGATGCAGATTTGCCGGGTATTGGATTTTAGTCTGCGCCACAAACCAAACCATGTCAGAAACCTCTGCAAGTAATAGGGTAGTCTCTTGACACCAATTTGAGACCCCCCTATCACTCTCAGCTCAGTCCATGAAGGCTAGATAGGTTTATCATGCCATGATATGTAAGGGAAGCCAGAATCTGATGCAGATTTGCCGGGTATTGGATTTTAGTCTGCGCCACAAACCAAACCATGTCAGAAACCTCAGCAAGGCATAGGGTAGTCTCTTGACACCAATTTGAGACCCCGCTATCACTCTCAGCTTAGTCCATGAAGGCTAGATAGGTTTATCATGCCATGATATGTAAGGGAAGCCAGAATCTGATGCAGCTTTGCCGGGTATTGGATTTTAGTCTGCGCCACAAACCAAACCTTATCAGAAAGCTCTGCAAGTGATAGGGTAGTCTCTTGACACCAATTTGAGACCCCCCTATCACTCTCAGTTCAGTCCATGAAGTCTAGACAGGTATATCACGCCATGATATGTAAGGGAAGCCAGAATCTGATGCAGATTTGCCGGGTATTGGATTTTAGTCTGCGCCACAAACCAAACCTTGTCAGACAGCTCTGCAAGTGATAGTGTAGTCTCTTGACACCAATTTGAGACCCCCCTATCACTCTCAGTTCAGTCCATGAAGGCTAGATAGGTTTATCATGCCATGATATGTAAGGGAAGCCAGAATCTGATGCAGATTTGCCGGGTATTGGATTTTAGTATGCGCCACAAACCAAACCTTGTCAGAAAGCTCTGCAAGTGATAGGGTAGTCTCTTGACACCAATTTGAGACCCCCCTATCACTCTCAGTTCAGTCCATGAAGGCTAGATAGGTTTATCATGCCATGATATATATGGGAAGCCAGAATCTGATGCAGCTTTGCCAGGTATTGGAGTTTAATCTGCGCCACAAACCAAACCTTGTCAGAAAGCTCTGCAAGTGATAGGGTAGTCTCTTGACACCAATTTGAGACCCCGCTATCACTCTCAGTTCAGTCCATGAAGGCTAGATAGGTTTATCATGCCATGATATGTAAGGGAAGCCAGAATCTGATGCAGACTTGCCGGGTATTGGATTTTAGTCTGCGCCACAAACCAAACCTTGTTAGAAAGCTCTGCAAGTGATAGGGTAGTCTCTTGACACCAATTTGAGACCCCCCTATCACTCTCAGTTCAGTCCATGAAGGCTAGATAGGTTTATCATGCCATGATATGTAAGGGAAGCCAAAATCTGATGCAGACTTGTCGGGTATTGGATTTTAGTCTGCGCCACAAACCAAACCTTGTCAGAAAGCTTCGCAAGTGATAGGGGAGCGTGTTGACACCAATTTCATATAGGTGGAGTGGTGATTCCTAGGGCCCATGGGGTTATTTATTTTGGTATCTTAGAGTGTATTGTTTTAGTAATGTCAGCAACATTTTAACAAATACGCCACAATCGCGAACCGCCAGTTGCTAGTGTAGGCAGTGCACGCATTCCCTCCCGTCATTTTGAAGTTCGAAATCAGAATTCAAAATAGCCGCACCACACCACACACCGAGTCGCCATGAGCACGCTTCCTCCGTGCGATGATCCCACCCGCCCAGCTTCGCCTTACAATCACAGCGAAGTGCGGCTTCACATGCCTAACGTGCTAGTCGCACACAAGTCTCTTGCTTTAGGGTGAGGCTTGAGCCTTGCCTTCTCATTTGGCGACTTAGCTTCTTCGCTCCAACGATTGCTCGGTTTTCTCTAGACTATGGAGGAATTCTCACCGTGACCTCTTCGGGGATAGACAAGCGCAAGGATTGCCAATCCATAGCCTATTATCTTAGCTCTCAAGGTGGCTTGGAACATCGTCTCCCTTCCGCTGTCCTTCCATGAGCCCATCCGTCCCAGCAGCTGCACGCGGCTCAATAGTGTGCCTGCCAGTCCCCACAACGTTAAAACGCCTCGAGCAGCAGGCATTGCTGGCGTAGGTAGCAGCTTGACTTGCGGCGGTGCCACGCTGTGGGCCAATTCATCCCTACATCGCGGCGTGGTGAGCGGCGATAAAATCATGATCAGACGCAAGACAGAATGCGGAGTAGTTATACTTCCCATTTAACACTCGTATGTCTAAGTTTAGTCACAGTCCTTGTAGCATCAACATGTAGAACCTACTTCGAGGTGTGTCTCATAGAAACCCGAGCCTGTAGTCCCTGTCGCGTTACCCTTATCGGGAGTGACTTTTCACGCCCTTCGCAGGTCGACCTCTCTGGCGTAGCCGCTACTAAAGAGCCCTTGTACAATGCTCTTCATATTACAGCTGGTCATAGCATGAACATGAACAAACAATTACTGTGCGTCTTTTGCGGGGGTAGATTTCGAAGTGCCCAGTGTTTTGGGCGGCACAAGGCATGGGACCCAAAATGCCGTGTCAAATATGCAGCACTGCGTCAGGGTGGACCTTCAGTACAAGGGCACATTGTTCTTTTCACCACACCTCTTCCCGATGCTGTTAATACGGCCCATGTTCCGGCCCATCACGTGCATGGCGACAACGTACAGGCACACGAAGACGGTGAGCATTCCGTCGGCAGCAATTCGTCATGTTCTACACCCGGAAATGAAATACCCGAGGCCGTCACCGACGCGGACACAGCGAATTCGCCTCAGAGTACCAGCAGCGCCAGGAATACCGCTGCTCCCTCCGTACCCACAAGCTTCGGGCGTCCACCACCGAGCAATCCCGCTGCGCTTCAGTTTCTGCACTTTGTGCGGAAAGCCAACGGACGGCTTGGTTTGGCAGAGACGGACATCAACGCACTGCTGCAACTTCTAATGGTTCCGGAACTTGCACAGAGAGTGCTCGAGGAGTACACCAACTGCCGAGAGCTCGAGCGCTTCGAGTTGGACCAACTGCGTGGTCTAGGCCGTGGGTACTCTGTCAGAGTTATATGACATAGCTACTGTAGGCTATAGTGGGGTAGCACATATGGGGTACAGTTGCCTAGGGTTTGCCTTTTGTACCCAACTTTCACTTAGTCATTTCATTCCTGTTTTCTTGATTCACATGGTATAGAGCGGGTTCCTACATGGGACCGTTCCTTCCTAAGGGCCCACCATAAGATTTTTTTTTTTAGCTGCCCGCGCACATTGCGCCCTGCCCTAAATTTTTTTTTTTTTTAGCGGCCCCTACGCTGCCCCTACGCGGCCCCTACGCCGCCTCCCACGCGCCCCCTATGCGGCCCCTGGCGGCGCCCTGACGAGGCCCCTGCCGGCGCCCTATCGCGGCCCCTGACGCGCTCCCTGGTGGCGCCCTGACGCGGCCCTGACGCGGCCTGACGCGGCCCCTGGCGGCGCCCTGACGCGGCCCTGCCGTGGCCCCTGACGCGGCCCTGACGCGGCCTGCCGCGGCCCCTGCCGCGGCCCCTGCCGCGGCCCTGAAGCGGCCCCTGACGCGGCCCTGACACGGCTCTGCCGCGGCCCTGATGCGTCCCTGACGCGGCCCTGCCGCGGCCCCTGGCGACGCCCTGACGCGGCCCCTGACGCGGCGCCCTGACGCGGCCCCTGCCGCGGCCCTGACGCGGCCCTGCCGCGGCCCCTGACGCGGCCCTGACGCGGCCTGCTGCGGCCCCTGCCGCGGCCCTGAAGCGGCCCCTGACGCGGCCCTGACGCGGCTCTACCGCGGCCCTGACGCGGCCCTGACGCGGCCCCTGCCGCGGCCCCTGGCGGCGCCCTGACGCGGCCCCTGACGCGGCGCCCTGACGCGGCCCTGCCGCGGCCCCTGACGCGGCCCCTGCCGCGGCCCCTGACGCGGCCCCTGTCGCGGCCCCTGACGCG